AAATAATCTGTCATAGGGAACCCGAAAGGGGCGCTGTGGGGTGCTAACACCTTCCCCACGCGTAACCGACTCCCTTACCCAACTCTGGTTGTAATGGCCAAAGTTGATTTATAAAATCAATTGCCTTATCCCTTTTTCCAATGTTTTGAGTAAAACATTGGTGGCGACTCCACGAACCCTCCTTTTGCGAAAACCACTAATCCATGGAGGGTCCCGCTTGGGATTAATATGGATTGGTGAATCATTTAATAAAATTGCTCGTTTGACAAGGTCTCAGTTTGAGAATACGTCATTCTAGCAATCCATATTTTTAAACAAATAAACGAGTCCAACCATCCTTCGCGAATGCCGAAAGCCCGTTTGGGCCGGTGGCGACAGGTAGAAACTATCTGACTTATTAGGACTGAGCATGAATTTTGTCACATCAGACATGAAAGAGTAGGAGGCTCTCTGTCGCAATCACACCAAGTGTAGTTAGTTTGGCGTCGAGTGTGACTGAGACAGGAAGCCCCTACTTCGATGATGTTGAGTGCCCTAGCGATGGCGCCAGGCATGAGTGTTGCATGATTTTAATGCGATGTTTTAAGTTGTTTTATGATTGAAAGATGATGATTAAGTTGTATAACGAAGATGATATGATGATAACTCATATATATAAAGAAAACCAACAGGCAACAGTTCTACAACTCTTTAAAATTTTAAGGGTACCTTATAATATCTCATATTATATTTGCTAGTCAACGAGCGTTCTAGATGCTTGGCGGGCGATTGGTCAGAGTCCAACCTTCTTTTCTCTGTTTCTTCTGATCCACGTCGTTGTCAACCGTTATAATATCTACTTATCACTTTTTATATTATAAATTATAAATATTGAATGTATTTTATATTTTCCAAATATTAAATTTATTTACTTTTTGATAGAATGAAATATTTAAAAATCTTAAAATATTATAACAAGAAGATCCCAATTCCTTCTATGATTATACATCGCGTATAAGCTGAAGCTAGCTTTATTTTAGGGCTTAAAAACTACTTTAAATAGTTTCCTTTTATGCAGTTTTTTTTTTCATCTTAAAGAATAAAACTATTATATATACACATATAAATAAAAGGAAAAATCAGTTTATTATAAAAATAATTTAATAACTCATATTATATATTGAATATAGCAATTGTTTTGACATGGGCCATTTACTGGATGCATGAAGTCAAAGTCAACCTCAAGCCAGCATTTGAATTAGATTCTTTTAGGGACAAATCACGCGCTGGAAAATGAGTTTAAAACATCAAAAAAATCAATTATAGGTTGGCAGATCTTAATTGCAACTTATATATGTATCACTTTCATTTTGAAAAACGGGTAGTGTTTTCAGGAGATCAAACCATTTGTATATAAAAATAATACTTTAAAAAATGAGATATATCTGGAGTGAAGCATTGAGATTAAACCCTCAAATTTAAAATATACATAAATGTATTTAATTATAGTGTACCAATGTCACACTCGACCACTTTTATTCCATATTCAACAAAAACACGTCAGTCTCAATAGCTATATTTTTATATTTTGGATTTAATAACAATGATATGTACATCCATACGTCCATAGTTTTCACCCAATCATTCAATTCATTATAAATAATAAATTTGATAATTTTTATAATAATTACTTTAAAAGGTCATATAACTTTTATATTTTTCCGTACACAATAGGAAGATAGGAAATTTTTTCGTGAAGAACTGATTGGTTGAATGAAGCTTCCACGTTAGAAAATGGCCGTTTGTGGATATATATATATATA